TTTTTTTTTTTTTTTTTTTTTTTTTTTTTTTTTTTTTTTTTTTTTTTTTTTTTTTTTTTTTTTTTTTTTTTTTTTTTTTTTTTTTTTTTTTTTTTTTTTTTTTTTTTTTTTTTTTTTTTTTTTTTTTTTTTTTTTTTTTTTTTTATAATTAGATATGGAATTATGTTATAGTTTTAATGCATTTTCAGCTTGTAATACAAAATTTATATCTCAATGAAAATAAGAACAAAATCAAAATTTATATTTTAATAAAACTTTAATATATAGAAAATATGTATAATAAATACTTAAAACATTATGTTTAAATATTATTATATATTAAGACTTAGTTTAAAATTGAAGTATGAAAATAAATATTTTAACGAAATTACTTTCATGCCCTCCAAAATCTATCCCATTTTTTTCAAAGAGAATAAAGTGAAGATATTGAGATGTAGCTTAGTGTTTCACACGTGTCACTAACACGTGTAGAATTATTTAATTAATTTTTTAAAAAGGTAAATTATAAAAAAAGTTAATTATAAAATTTTGTCAACAAAGACGGCTCGAGGGTTACGACGTATTTTTCGTTTTCTTTAACGAATATATTTATTTAATTCTTTTGGAAAAACTATTTAATTTAAAGTAAGAATATTAAATATTTTACTTTAATTTTCTTTTTATAATTTAGATAATTTAGTCATCATTTTTTTAAAATATAATTTAGTCATCATTTTGTCATATTTTCGAGATTAATTTTTTGTAAATAATTATTTTCCTTTTATTTGCTTTATTTTAAAATATTCGAAAAAACAATCAATTATATAGAAAAACAATAATTACAATATTATACCAAACTCAATTTCTATGAATTAAAATTTTAATATTATACATCATTGTTCGTCAACTTATTATTATAATAAAAATAAAAAAACTGAACTCTCTCCGCTCCATCTCCTATTACTCGTGCAAACCGAGGTTCACTCCCACAAGACCCATATTTTGCATGTTAGAGAGTCTTTTTTTTTTGTCGAGTAACAGTAAGCCAATATCATATTGTTGACCACTCACTTAATTCAAAATATTATCAATAAAAAATATAATATAATCGTATAATTATATATTTTTATGTGAGTCGAAGTATACAAGAAGCGGAACCAACTTCAACCGTCGATTGAACTAACTCGAGTCGACCCGACTCAATTATCATATTATCCTAAGGAGAAAAGGAATAAGAAAATAATAGAAAATGGGAAAAGAACAAAGGTTCTAGAGTGTTCCAAAGCAGGACAAACGCAGAGGGTTGGTCATGGAGGGGAAGCCAAATCCAACGGCCAACAATTGCTGGAAGCTTCGGGAGCCTACAAGCTTCATGGGCTCCGTTTTGCTCTCATTTTCCTATCCATCCTTTGGGAATTCGCTATAAAGAAACCTACTGCTCTTCGTTCATCGAATCCCGCATTTTATACTGTGTATTAGCGCAGTTTTGCCACGCTCACAGCGCTCGCTCCTCGCCCCGCCCTCGCCCTCTTATCCAAACCAATCCTTCTCCCTCTAAACCCTAAAACCCCTCTGACCCTCCGCCGTTTTCTTGTATGTTTCCCTCTCTTTTTTCGCTTTGTTGAGCTTTCCAATCAGTAATGGCCCATGTCTTTACAATTCATGTCTTGATGAATTTGTTTGTGTCATTTCATTTATGGGTTTTGATTAATCCAAGATTTTCTACATGGGTTTTCGATTTTGGGGGTTTTTTTCCCCTCATCTTGTGTGGATTTGTTGTAGCTCGATTCATTTTATGCTTGCTGATTCATTTCTATCGTGTTCTTGATTATCCGACGTTTTTGTGTTTGCATTGTTGTCTGATAATTGTCTGTCAATTGTTAATTCCTATGTTGATGAATTTGCTTATGTCATTTCGTTTCTGGGTTTTGCTGGCTGTTTGCAATTGTTGCTATGAATTTGTTTCAATTTGAACGAAGGAATGAGGCCAATTACTTTCTGTTTCAGTTTCAAAGAGGGTAAATGGCTTCCGCCTTCACATCCATGTCTTCAATCGGTACCCTTGCTGCGCCTAGCAGCCGTGTAATGGATAAAAAGCTTATGGCATCTTCTGATAAGTTGACTTCTCGCACTTCCATTTCTTTATTTGCTCTCCCAAGAAGACAAAGCGTAGTTCTAAGAAGAACCCGTTCTTCAAAGATCTCTGCAATGGCAAAGGAGCTGCACTTTAACCAGGATGGCTCGGCTATTAAGAAATTACAGGTGATCTCTTGTTTGTCTTCAAATTTACTTGCAATGGAGCTATTATAGTTCTTGTAACAAGGCAATTTACTTGCAATGGAGCTATTATAGTTCTTGTAACAAGGCGTCTCGTTGTTTCAGACTGGCGTGAACAAACTTGCTGACTTGGTGGGAGTTACTCTTGGTCCGAAAGGAAGAAATGTGGTTCTGGAAAGCAAGTATGGCTCCCCAAAAATTGTTAATGATGGTGTAACTGTTGCAAAAGAGGTATCTCATTCCTGGATCCGAATTCGAATTCGAATCTTCTTTGGCTAGTGATAGTAACTTGACCTCGTCCAATTTGCTTCTGTCAACTAGGTTGAATTGGAGGATCCAGTTGAGAACATTGGTGCTAAGCTAGTCAGACAAGCTGCTGCGAAGACCAACGATTTAGCCGGTGATGGAACTACCACTTCAGTTGTTTTGGCTCAGGGTCTTATTGCTGAAGGGGTCAAGGTATCAGATAGAGAGTAGCGCGCGACGTTTATACGTCCTCACTGAATGTTTACTAACTGAGCTGAACATGTTTTAGGTTGTAGCAGCTGGAGCTAACCCTGTTCTTATCACTAGGGGCATTGAAAAAACAGCCAAAGCCTTGGTCTCTGAGCTGAAACAAATGTCGAAAGAGGTAAAATTGTTTGGTTTAATGGTGCTGCTACTATTTAGGGGTTGGATGAACTGCTTGTTAAGATGTAACGTTATTGTAGGTTGAAGACAGCGAACTGGCCGATGTCGCTGCAGTTAGTGCTGGAAACAACTATGAAGTGGGTAACATGATAGCTGAAGCCATGAGCAAGGTTGGACGAAAGGGTGTGGTGACTCTTGAAGAGGGAAGAAGTGCCGATAACAGTCTCTATGTCGTGGAAGGAATGCAGTTCGACAGGGGTTATATCTCTCCCTATTTCGTTACCGACAGCGAGAAAATGGCTGTGGAATATGAGAACTGCAAGGTATATGCAATGATCCATCTTATCATACTCTGGAAATTTGGCCATACATTTTAGTCGTCTAACCTTTCGTACTCGGAATCGTACAGCTGCTTCTCGTTGACAAGAAGATCACTAATGCTAGGGATCTTATTAACATCCTGGAGGAGGCTATTAGAGGTGGCTACCCTGTTTTGATAATGGCAGAGGATATTGAACAAGAAGCACTGGCTACTCTAGTTGTAAATAAACTGAGAGGTTCTTTGAAGATCGCTGCACTTAAAGCTCCTGGGTTTGGTGAGCGTAAGAGCCAGTACCTTGACGACATTGCCATTCTTACTGGAGGTATTCCCTCGACTCATTTGAATAATCCAATTTCTTTGCTTCGTGTCCCGTCATTCAGTTCCTTCCGAATTCTGCTTAAACGAAATGAGTATATTTTGGTGATCCAGGCACGGTTATCAGAGAGGAGGTAGGGCTTTCCTTGGACAAAGTTGGAAAGGAGGTGCTTGGAACTGCATCCAAGGTAGTGCTTACCAAAGACACCACAACAATTGTTGGTGATGGTAGCACTCAAGATGCAGTTTCTAAGCGTGTTGCACAGATCAAAACTCTGATTGAGGTAGTGATAGTAATAGTGATCATAACTCTTGCTTGGGCAGCAAAAACTGGGTATTGATTTGGCCATGTTCATGTAGGCTGCAGAACAAGACTATGAGAAAGAAAAACTTAACGAGAGAATTGCTAAGCTTTCTGGTGGTGTAGCGGTCATACAGGTAAATTTCTGCAGCATATCAGCTTGTTTGATTAAATGTGCTTTCGTACATGTTTGTGACACTTTGGGGTAATTCCTGAAGGTCGGAGC